GGGCGCTCTGGGGCTGGAGCCGACACTGGAGGGCGCTCTGGGGCTGGAGCCGACACTGGAGGGCGCTCTGGGGCTGGAGCCGGTATGGTGGAGGAGCCCTTTCTCCTCCTACGCTTCCTTATTTTTGGTGGCGGGAAGCTGGCCACCTCTTCAGACACTGCTGGGCACTCCACTACCTCTGAAAGTGTTGCAGTGTCTGTTTCGGGCACCTCGAGGGATGTTGCTGCCGCCAGGGTGGTTGCTGGATGGGCTGCAGTGAGTTCAGTCACCTCTAGATGGGTGACAGGTGAGGAGGGCCCGTTCTTCCTCCTCCTTCTCCGTTGGTGGGTCATCGGAGGACTGGGGATTTGGCAGTCTGTGAGCGGGATTGGCGGTGGGCCAAGGGGAGGCAGGCCACCGTCTCCCTGGCTGTGGTACAAATAGCTCACAAACTGCCAGAATGACAGTATCCCCAGCATCCCCATCTCCCAGGCCTGAAGGGGGCTGTTGAGTCCAGCATTGAAAGCCTCCTTCAGTGCTGTGGTGGTAAACTCAAGCCCCTCTGCTGCGTAGACAAACTGGTAGGCAAACTCCTTGACTGAAGATTCCCCTTGATGAAGACCAAAGAGTTTGCCCAAACGTTCCTTCTGCTGGCATGCAGAGGGACGTGAACTGGGAGATGGGAAAAGGAAGATACCCATATTTCTGCTGAGTCCTCTGTTATGGCGAGTTCGTACTGTCACGGTCGTGGTGGGGAAAAGGAGCGAGGACTCAAGTGCAAAGAAACAATGGGTATTTATTAATAATAAAATAAAAATAAAAAGCAAAACAAAACTACCCCGAGGGGGAAAACATTAACAAAACACACAAACTTGGCTCAACAAGAACAAGGCAAGACTGGATCAGGAACACGGGGAGTGTAGACAACGAACTCGCAAAGGACTGAAAACATGAGGGGGATTATAAAGCAAAAAAGTAAATTGACACAGGTGAACACAATTAACTAATAATGGGTTGACAAGGAGGGTGGGACTAGACAATAGACGGGAGAGCGCATGACACAGAGAGACAATACAAGCCATGCGCTCACATAACACAACACTGAAGCACACGACAAAAGCACGTGACCACAATGTAAACACCGAGCCACGTGCTTTGACAAAAGACGCAAGACACGAGCACACGATAGATAAACACCTTACCGTGCACTCACACATAAGCAACGCGCATGCTTCATCTCAGCGCCAACCAAAACTGAAACCAACTAGACGGAGGCGCCGAGAATAAAGCAGCGCGCTGCTGACAGAACAAACACAAACACTAGTACAAGAGCGCGCGCGTCTGAGGGACGCAGAGCGCGCGCGGCCACATCATGTGGCAGCGCGCACACTCTGCGTACACCCACGACGGCGCGCGCGCACACAGAGACAGAAACAGGACCAGACATTGAGTAGTGTCAGAGCTCTGCCACCAAAACAAGAATTTACAAGACCAAAGTGGCAGAACCCTGACATGGGTTGTCTTGACAAGTCTGTCACTGCTACGGCTCAAAACAGAGAAGGAGCCCTCTCTGCATCACAGCAGTGCAGATAGAGATGATGACTGAGATGTGTCTGAATAGAACAAAACATATATAGAGCAATTAACCTTATCTGTAGTATATTTATACATATATCAAATATCATATCAACCATCAGTAACAATTTATCAGAAATATTTTTAGATAATTATTGAACATTAATAATGACAAATACATTTGTTATCATATTTGGATATCACATTCTACTACATACCTTATTATATATATTGATAAATTGTAATCTCTTTTTTAATAAAGAACATTTCTCTCTCTAAATGAAGTTTAAAGCAACATGTTACATTTTTAAATGACCAAATTATAAATACTCCACCTAGTACATGTTATTGGTTACTCAAACTGTTATATCAATTGTAAATCAGCAGCCTGTAATTTGATGCATTTCTCGCGATTTTCATATTGCACCTTAATTATGAATTTGCTGTCAACAGCATGTGGAAAGAGAAAAAAAAATGCAACATACAGTAAAGCTTTTATTAGATATCTAAATGATAAACATGTAGTTCAATATACAGAATACCTTTCAGATTGCTTATATTACAATTAAATCTGCTCTTCCAGAAAAAAAGTACCTTTTTAAAAAAAAGTAAAAAAAGTACCTTGAAAGGCTTCTAGCTGTACATACTGCCTTTCACCATATGTCAACATGTGAAAATAAGGGGTAACATTACCCCATTGTACCCCATTTGATTACATTTAATAACTGTGTCACTTTAAAAATGCACAAATCTATAATGAAAGCATTTGATTGATTTCCTAACTATTTATGCTCATTATGCTCGTTTAAAAGAAAACCCATCAAGATCGACATGTACAGATATTATTAATACAATTATTATGTGTATATGTCTATTTAAAGAAGCACCCAAAACCGAGATTATTTACTTTTACTCCGTTTCAGATCGCGTGTACAGAATCCGTTTATTAAACAGCGTCTATTTATCACTATGGAGCATATCATAGATCACGCACCGCTACATACAATGACTGTTTTGAGGATTGGATAGGAGGGGCAAGTGCCTGCCGTTTTCATATTTATTTCAAAGTGTTTTCAAGCCTAAATAAAATGAAAGCACTGAAAAGATTGACAATTAAGAGCAAAGGTCGCCCCTGCTGGTTCGGCGGTATGGGTAGCGTATAGTGAGGATCAGTCCTTTAATGTTGTTTGTCACGTTCATAGTAACGTAAATAAGGGAGAATTACGGGAAAATACCTTTACGTATTATAGCGGGATATAACTGTAAAATACGGGAGAATCCCGGAAAATCGGAGGGTTGACAGGCAACGGTATATAGTACGGTTATGTATGTATTATAACTTACTGTGTACACACAACATCAAAGTTATGTCGTGAGCTTCAGGCTAATGCAATACCCCATGCTGTTCGTTTAAATGTCGAAATTACTGAGACTTGCATTGGGTTAAACTTAAACACGATTTAATGCACAATTCACTGCTCACCATAACTTTGTTGAAGGAAAATCCGTCTGAATAAGAAGTTTCGTCAGACGTCAGCTGTTATTGCTGCGTGCGCGCGCCGGAATATTGAATCTGCTCCAACCAGACTCCATCCCCCGCGCATGCGTACAGGCGCTTTTTGCTGCAAGGCTTGTTCGCCAAACACAAATATTTCACTTCTGTTTCATAAATTGGCTTAATTTTAATATGTTTGGTGAATATTTTTAATTTTGACCTCAGACCATCGAGATATATTATTGGGACCATCAGCTAAAATTATTACACTGGATTTTTTAATCATTTGTTGAGTCATTATTTAATTGTCAGCTTCCACATTTTTTCAAAAAGTATTTTTTTTGTAATTTAATTTGATACAGCCCTATAATTAAATAATTAATGCAAAAAATATGATCAAATAAAATAGTATCTGGAATTTGGTGAAATAAAATTAAATTGCAACAGAATCTGATGAAAATGAATTACGAAAATAAAGTAAATATTGAAATGAATGAATAAACTAGGCCAATATTTTATGTTTGTTTTAGTTTTTATTATTGCTGTGGGTTCTAGACTCGAAGAGAAAATAATAATTATTAGGATATCTGCTTACCCTTATCTACATGAATATCTTTTAGTCAAATTTAACTCAGTGTTTATGTTTCTGTATTACAGATTTAGTTCAATTTACACAATATTCATGTATATATACTATAAAGAATACAAAAGTTTAATACAGAATCAATAGAGATGAACTCTTCTTTTGCTTTGATTGACTGACTGCTGATCAAGTGTTGTTTACATTTAAACAAGTTCAATATTCTGTCACCACGGCAACTTGAGTTTACACTGGAAATCAACACAACTCTCTGAATTTGATCACTCAAGCTCTTTCAACTCTCCAGTTTGACAAGTTTTATCACAATTGTCTGATTTGGAAAGTTAATCTTCATGGAGCAACGGCGCCTCAGAAGGACCAGGACTCTTCCAGCCCACCTGAAAGACTTCTGGCTGGAGGGTGTTCCATCTGTTCAGGATCCTGGAGCTGTGGTCAGGTTAGACCACACTTACAGCTGCATCTCTGGCCCAGGTTTGAAGGACCATCACCTGAAGAACGCGGCTGTCCTTCCACCTCTCTGTCCAGCATCCCCAGAGTCTTCAGTGGACGTGAGACAGCAGGAGGAGCCGCTCTCCATTCACGGCTACAGTGTTCAGGCCTACCAGAACATCTACCATTCTGTGGTTGAGCCCATGTTGAAGAACCGTCGCTACAGCCTACAACTGGGCCTAGAGATCAAGCAGCGGCTGTGGGAGGCGCTCAGGTGTCCTGTAATGGAGGAGACGGAGCAGGCTGATGGGCGAATCCTCATCACGGAGAGCAGATGTGGATTCAGACCAAACAGCATCGCTCCTCGAATCCATGTGGACATCAGTGAAGAGCCACTGCCTGAGGAGCCCAGAAGAAAGAGGCCCAGACACTGAGTCTGCACAGTATCTCAAACCACACTGCAGGCCTGTGTATGTATATAGTGTACATAGTTGTAGAGCAAGTTTACAGTAAGTTTCCTTTTCATGTTTTGTTTCATCAATTGGTTGCTTTTATTGATTGTTGGTGTTGTTGACTTGTGGCTCTTGGTTTGCTCGGTGGTCTTTCCTGCATTGCTGGGTGGTCTTCAGGACGTTTCAGGTGGTTTTCTGAGCGGTTGTTCTCGTGTTGCTGGTCGGTCGCTTGACTCTTTTGACAAATTCGATGCGTTTAGTTGATTTGTGGTCTCTGTTGGGTTAGAGTAGGTTAGGGTCCCTCACGTGGTTTGCAGCTTGACGTGCTGTGAGGGCTTGTGTGCATCCGTGATGCTGAGAGCTTCGCCACTGGTACTTCACAGATACCGGCAGGGTCACCCATAGTGGACTGGTCTCAGCTGAGATGCCCGACTAAGACAAACCAGCTGACTCTGGACAGCAAAAAATTTACCTGTTCTCCAGCAGAAGAGTAACATCAGAATCACCTGAAGATGTGGAAGTCACAGGTGGATTTGTGGAAACAACTATTCTAAATAAATAAATTAATAAACAAAATTAATAAATTCATTCATTAATAAAAAAAGAGGCTGCATTTATTTTCTTTTTCTTCTATTATGCTGAATTTCATCATGTTAAATATATACACTTTTAAACTTTGTGTAATTCTTGTGGTTTAGACTATTATCAAATTAAAAAGTAAGAAATTATGATTGTATATAAGTATTACCACTAATCTGTTTTTCAACACAATTTACCACAAATTGCTCGATAAAAAATATAATAAAATTATAGTATAATGAACCATAATAACAATAATTATAATTAAAATTTAAAATACATACAATAAACAAATATTAAAATAATTTATTCAATATTTAGATTGAATATTATTTACAAATATGTAAACATACACAGTGTATATTGTGTATATATATATATATATATATATATATATATATATATATATATATATATATATATATATATATATATTTTAGGGCTTGCATAGACTAGTCGACTTGTCTGACGATCGACTACTTCAACCACTAGTTGACGCTCTCAGAAGCAATCGACTACTCGAGCGTGCATTTACCATAAATGGCATCAAAACGACAAACGTATCCAACAAACATCACGATCCAAGGTTAAAGCTTCCAACTACAACTGAGGATTAAATTCAAGATTATTTACATGGTCAACATTACCACCACAGGGAATCCTCTCGAATGGTAGTCACATGGTCTCCGCTACGTTAATTCCTCCGTGGCGGGCGCCACACCAAAAAAACATTACAGTATCCCATTCAAAACATTCAGTCGTGTTTTATAATAGCTGGTTATAATCGCACTAAAAAAGTATTAAAAGGTGAGTGAATTATAACAGCGCAAACTTTACTGTGTGTGCGTCATTTGTTTAACCCTCAAATGTTACGTGCTGACTGACTGACTGACTGACTGACAGGTGCTTGATGTGTGAGGCCAGCAAACACGACGTGGCTTTCAGTTAGATTAACAGTTTCCATAAGTGTACTTTATAGTATCTATTGCTCTGAATATTATGATTTTATCTCAATAATTTTGCACGCAAGCAAATAGTTTAAAAATAACGTCATAGGTGTCTGGTAGATCTGTATAAAAAAGCCTGCTGCCACAGCCGGAAAAAATCCTAAAGGAAACACAGAGTAATGTAATGAACATCAGTTTCCTCTACTATCCAAGCTAGCGAAATGAATTTACACTGTATTCAAATATTGATGGTCCAGGATCAACATTACTGAATTTACACTGTATTTAAATAAAGTAATTTAAATATATAAGCTATCTATACACATACAAATAAAAATACTTTTTTCTCTCTCTCTTAGTACCGTTTGCACACATCTGATAATAAACTTACATCTTTGGACACTCTGTAAGGGCTCTTCATCACATTTCATTCATTTGGGTTGTCTTGACAAGTCTGTCACTGCTACGGCTCAAAACAGAGAAGGAGACCTCTCTGCATCACAGCAGTGCAGATAGAGATGATGACTGAGACGTGTCTGAATAGAACAAAACATATAAAGAGCAATTAACCTTATCTGTAGTATATTTATAGACATTTCAAATACCATATCAACCATCAGTAACAATTTATCCTAAATATTTTTAGATAATTATTGAACATTAATAATGACAAAAACATTTGTTATCATATTTGGATATCACATTCTACTACATACCATATTATATATATTGATAAATTGTAATCTCTTTTTTAATAAAGAACATTTCTCTCTCTAAGTGATGTTAAAAGCAACATGTTACATTTTTAAAGGACCAAATTATAAATACTCCACCTAGTACATGTTATTGGTTACTCAAACTGTTATATCAATTGTAAATCAGCAGCCTGTAATTTGATGCATTTCTCGCGATTTTCATATTGCACCTGAATTATCATTTTGCTGTCAACAGCATGTGGAAAGAGACAAAAAATGCAACATACAGTAAAGCTTTTATTAGATATCTAAATGATAAACATGTAGTTCAATATACAGAATACCTTTCAGATTGCTTATATTACAATTAAATCTGCTCTTCCAGAAAAAAAAGTACCTTCTGAAATGTTGTTGTCCATTTAAATGTTCTTTTACGGCTTGAAAGGCTTCTAGCTGTACATACTGCCTTTCACCATATGTCAACATGTGAAAATAAGGGGTAACATTACACCATTGTACCCCATTTGATTACATTAAATAACGGTGTCACTTTAAAAATGCACAAATCTATAATAAAAGCATTTGATTGATTTCCTAACTATTTATGCTCATTATGCTCGTTTAAAAGAAAACCCATCAAGATCGACATGTACAGATATTATTAATACAATTATTATGTGTATATGTCTATTTAAAGAAGCACCCAAAACCGAGATTATTCACTTTTACTCCGTTTCAGATCGCGTGTACAGAATCCGTTTAGGAAACAGCGTCTATTTATCACTATGGAGCATATCATAGATCACGCACCGCTACATACAATGACTGTTTTGAGGATTGGATAGGAGGGGCAAGTGCCTGCCGTTTTCATATTTATTTCAAAGTGTTTTCAAGCCTAAATAAAATGAAAGCACTGAAAAGATTGACAGTTAAGAGCAAAGGTCGCCCCTGCTGGTTCGGCGGTATGAGTAGCGTATAGGGAGGATCAGTCATTTAATGTTTATTGTCACTTTCATAGTAAATACGGGAGAATTACGGGAAATACCTTTACGTATTATAGCGGGATATAACTGTAAAATACGGGAGAATCCCGGAAAATCGGAGGGTTCACAGGCAACGTTATATAGTATGGTTATGTATGTATTATAACTTACCGTGTACACACAACATCAAAGTTATGTCGTGAGCTGCAGGATAACGCAATACCCCATGCTGTTCGTTTAATTGTCGAAATTACTGAGACTTGCATTGGGTTAAACTTAAACATGATTTAATACAGAATTCACTACTCACCATAACTTTGTTGAAGGAAAATCCGTCTGAATATGAAGTTTCGTCAGACGTCAGCTGTTATTGCTGCGTGCGCGCGCCTGAATCTGCTCCAACCAGACTCCCCGCGCATGCGTACAGGCGCTTTTTGCTGCAAGGCTTGTTCGCCAAACACAAATATTTCACTTCTGTTTCATAAATTGGCTGAATTTTAATATGTTTGGTGAATATTTTTCATTTTGACCTCAGACCATCAGCTAAAATTATTACACTGGATTTTTTAATCATTTGTTGAGTCATTATTTAATTGTCAGCTTCCACATTTTTTCAAAAAGTAATTTTTTTGTAATTTAATTTGATACAGCCCTATAATTAAATAATTAATGCAAAAAATATGATCAAATAAAATAGTATCTGGATTTTGGTGAAATAAAATTAAATTGCAACAGAATTTGATGAAAATTAATTACGAAAATAAAGTAAATATTGAAATGAATGAATAAACGAGGCCAATATTTTATGTTTGTTTTAGTTTTTATTATTGCTGTGGGTTCTAGACTCGAAGAGAAAATAATAATTATTAGGATATCTGCTTGCCCTTATCTACATGAATATCTTTTAGTCAAATTTAACTCAGTGTTTATGTTTCTGTATTACAGATTTAGTTCAATTTACACAATATTCATGTATATATACTATAAAGAATACAAAAGTTTAATACAGAATCAATAGAGATGAACTCTTCTTTTGCTTTGATTGACTGACTGCTGATCAAGTGTTGTTTACATTTAAACAAGTTCAATATTCTGTCACCACGGCAACTTGAGTTTACACTGGAAATCAACACAACTCTCTGAATTTGATCACTCAAGCTCTTTCAACTCTCCAGTTTGACAAGTTTTATCACAATTGTCTGATTTGGAAAGTTAATCTTCATGGAGCAACGGCGCCTCAGAAGGACCAGGACTCTTCCAGCCCACCTGAAAGACTTCTGGCTGGAGGGTGTTCCATCTGTTCAGGATCCTGGAGCTGTGGTCAGGTTAGACCACACTTACAGCTGCATCTCTGGCCCAGGTTTGAAGGACCATCACCTGAAGAACGCGGCTGTCCTTCCACCTCTCTGTCCAGCATCCCAAGAGTCTTCAGTGGACGTGAGACAGCAGGAGGAGCCGCTCTCCATTCACGGCTACAGTGTTCAGGCCTACCAGAACATCTACCGTTCTGTGGTTGAGCCCATGTTGAAGAACCGTCCCTACAGCCTACAACTGGGCCTAGAGATCAAGCAGCGGCTGTGGGAGGCGCTCAGGTGTCCAGTAATGGAGGAGACGGAGCAGGCTGATGGGCGAATCCTCATCACGGAGAGCAGATGTGGATTCAGACCAAGCAGCATCGCTCCTCGAATCCATGTGGACATCAGTGAAGAGCCACTGCCTGAGGAGCCCAGAAGAAAGAGGCCCAGACACTGAGTCTGCACAGTATCTCAAACCACACTGCAGGCCTGTGTATGTATATAGTGTACATAGTTGTAGAGCAAGTTTACAGTAAGTTTCCTTTTCATGTTTTGTTTCATCAATTGGTTGCTTTTATTGATTGTTGGTGTTGTTGACTTGTGGCTCTTGGTTAGCTCGGTGGTCTTTCCTGCATTGCTGCGTGGTCTTCAGGACGTTTCAGGTGGTTTTCTGAGCGGTTGTTCTCGTGTTGCTGGTTGGTCGCTTGACTCTTCTGACAAATTCGATGCGTTTAGTTGATTTGTGGTCTCTGTTGGGTTAGAGTAGGTTAGGGTCCCTCACGTGGTTTGCAGCTTGACGTGCTGTGAGGGCTTGTGTGCATCCGTGATGCTGAGAGCTTCGCCACTGGTACTTCACAGATACCGGCAGGGTCACCCATAGTGGACTGGTCTCAGCTGAGATGCCCGACTAAGACAAACCAGCTGACTCTGGACAGCAAAATATTTACCTGTTCTCCAGCAGAAGAGTAACATCAGAATCACCAGAAGATGTGGAAGTCACAGGTGGATTTGTGGAAACAACTATTCTAAATAAATTAATTAATAAACAAAATTAATAAATTCATTCATTAATAAAAAAAGAGGCTGCATTTATTTTCTTTTTCTTCTATTATGCTGAATTTCATCATGTTAAATATATACACTTTTAAACTTTGTGTATTTCTTGTGGTTTAGACTAATATCAAATTAAAAAGTAAGAAATTATGATTGTATATAAGTATTACCACTAATCTGTTTTTCAACACAATTTACCACAAATTGCTCAATAAAAATGATAATAAAATTATAGTATAATGAACCATAATAACAATAATTATAATTAAAATTTAAAATAAATACAATAAACAAATATTAAAATAATTTATTTAATATTAGAATAAATATTATTTACAAATATATTATATATATATATATATATAGGCAAGGCAAGGCATTTCATACACAGTGGCAATTCAAAGTGCTTTACATAAACAGGAATAAAAAAGACAAGTTTAGGAACATAAAATGCAGAGAATAAAAATTATTAAAAACAGATAAAAACAAATTAAAATGATTTAAAATAGGTTATAAAAGAATGAAAAAGAAAACGAAAAACATAATATATATATATTTATATTTTAGGGCTTGCATAGACTAGTCGACTTGTCTAGCAATCGATTACTTCAACCACTAGTTGACGCTCTCAGAAGCAATCGACTACTCGAGCGTGCATTTACCATAAATGGCATCAAAACGACAAACGTATCCAACAAACATCACGATCCAAGGTTAAAGCTTCTAACTACAACTGAGGATAAATTCAAGATTATTTACATTATCAACATTACCCCCACAGGGAATCCTCTCGAATGGTAGTCACATGGTCTCCGCTACGTTAATTCCTCCGTGGCGGGCGCCACACCAAAAAAACATTACAGTATCCCATTCAAAACATTCAGTCGTGTTTTATAATAGCTGGTTATAATCGCACTAAAACGTATTAAAAGGTGAGTAAATTATAACAGCGCAAACTTTACTGTGTGTGCGTCATTTGTTTAACCCTCAAATGTTACGTGCTGACTGACTGACTGACTGACTGACAGGTGCTTGATGTGTGAGGCCAGCAAACACGACGTGGCTTTCAGTTAGATTAACAGTTTCCATAAGTGTACTTTATAGTATCTATTGCTCTGAATATTATGATTTTATCTTAATAATTTTGCACGCAAGCAAATAGTTTAAAAATAACGTCATAGGTGTCTGGTAGATCTGTATAAAAAAGCCTGCCGCCACAGCCGCAAAAAAATCCTAAAGGAAACATTGAGTAATGTAATGAACATCAGTTTCCTCTACTATCCAAGCTAGCGAAATGAATTTACACTGTATTTAAATGTTGATGGTCCAGGATCAACATTAGTGAATTTACACTGTATTTAAATGTTTATGATGGTCCAGGATCAACATTACTGAATTTACACTGTATTTAAATAAAGTAATTTAAATATATAAGCTATCTACACACATACAAATAAAAATACTTTTTTCTCTCTCTCTTAGTACCGTTTGCACACATCTGATGATAAACTTACATCTTTGGACACTCTGTAAGGGCTCTTCATCACATTTCATTCATTTGGGTTGTCTTGACAAGTCTGTCACTGCTACGGCTCAAAACAGAGAAGGAGCCCTCTCTGCATCACAGCAGTGCAGATAGAGATGATGACTGAGACGTGTCTGAATAGAACAAAACATATATAGAGCAATTAACCTTATCTGTAGTATATTTATAGATATTTCAAATATCATATCAAACATCAGTAACAATTTATCAAAAATATTTTTAGATAATTATTGAACATTAATAATGACAAAAACATTTGTTATCATATTTGGATATCACATTCTACTACATACCTTATTATATATATTGATAAATTGTAATCTCTTTTTTAATAAAGAACATTTATCTCTCTAAATGATGTTTAAAGCAACATGTTACATTTTTAAATGACCAAATTATAAATACTCCACCTAGTACATGTCATTGGTTACTCAAACTGTTATATCAATTGTAAATCAGCAGCCTGTAATTTGATGCATTTCTCGCGATTTTCATATTGCACCTGAATTATCATTTTGCTGTCAACAGCATGTGGCAAGAGAAAAAAAATGCAACATACAGTAAAGCTTTTATTAGATATCTAAATGATAAACATGTAGTTCAATATACAGAATACCTTTCAGATTGCTTATATTACAATTAAATCTGCTCTTCCAGAAAAAAAGTACCTTTTTAAAAAAAAGTAAAAAAAGTACCTTGAAAGGCTTCTAGCTGTACATACTGCCTTTCACCATATGTCAACATGTGAAAATAAGGGGTAACATTACCCCATTGTACCCCATTTGATTACATTAAATAACGGTGTCACTTTAAAAATGCACAAATCTAAAATGAAAGCATTTGATTGATTTCCTAACTATTTATGCTCATTATGCTCGTTTAAAATAAAACCCATCAAGATCGACATGTACAGATATTATTAATACAATTATTATGTGTATATGTCTATTTAAAGAAGCACCCAAAACCGAGATTATTCACTTTTACTCCGTTTCAGATCGCGTGTACAGAATCCGTTTAGGAAACAGCGTCTATTTATCACTATGGGGCATATCATAGATCACGCACCGCTACATACAATGACTGTTTTGAGGATTGGATAGGAGGGGCAAGTGCCTGCCGTTTTCATATTTATTTCAAAGTGTTTTCAAGCCTAAATAAAATGAAAGCACTGAAAAGATTGACAATTAAGAGCAAAGGTCGCCCCTGCTGGTTCTGCGGTATGAGTAGCGTATAGGGAGGATCAGTCCTTTAATGTTTATTGTCACTTTCATAGTAAATACGGGAGAATTACAGGAAAATACCTTTACGTATTATAGCGGGATATAACTGTAAAATACGGGAGAATCCCGGAAAATCGGAGGGTTGACAGGCACCGCTATATAGTACGGTTATGTATGTATTATAACTTACTGTGTACACACAACATCAAAGTTATGTCGTGAGCTTCAGGCTAATGCAATACCCCATGCTGTTCGTTTAAATGTCGAAATTACTGAGACTTGCATTGGGTTAAACTTAAACACGATTTAATACACAATTCACTGCTCACCATAACTTTGTTGAAGGAAAATCCGTCTGAATATGAAGTTTCGTCAGACGTCAGCTGTTATTGCTGCGTGCGCGCGCCGGAATATTGAATCTGCTCCAACCAGACTCCATCCCCCGCGCATGCGTACAGGCGCTTTTTGCAGCAAGGCTTGTTCGCCAAACACAAATATTTCACTTCTGTTTCATAAATTGACTGAATTTAATATGTTTGGTGAATATGTTTAATTTTGACCTCAGACCATCGAGATATATTATTGGGACCATCAGCTAAAATTATTACACTGGATTTTTTAATCATTTGTTGAGTCATTATTTAATTGTCAGCTTCCACATTTTTTCAAAAAGTAATTTTTTTGTAATTTAATTTGATACAGCTCTATAATTAAATAATTAATGCAAAAAAATATGATCAAATAAAATAGTATCTGGATTTTGGTGAAATAAAATTAAATTTCAACAGAATTTGATGAAAATGAATTACGAAAATGAAGTAAATATTGAAATGAATGAATAAACGAGGCCAATATTTTATGTTTGTTTTAGTTTTTATTATTGCTGTGGGTTCTAGACTCGAAGAGAAAATAATAATTATTAGGATATCTGCTTGCCCTTATCTACATGAATATCTTTTAGTCAAATTTAACTCAGTGTTTATGTTTCTGTATTACAGATTTAGTTAAATTTACACAATATTCATGTATATATACTATAAAGAACACAAAAGTTTAATACAGAATCAATAGAGATGAACTCTTCTTTTGCTTTGATTGACTGACTGCTGATCAAGTGTTGTTTACATTTAAACAAGTTCAATATTCTGTCACCACGGCAACTTGAGTTTACACTGGAAATCAACACAACTCTCTGAATTTGATCACTCAAGCTCTTTCAACTCTCCAGTTTGACAAGTTTTATCACAATTGTCTGATTTGGAAAGTTAATCTTCATGGAGCAACGGCGCCTTAGAAGGACCAGGACTCTTCCAGCCCACCTGAAAGACTTCTGGCTGGAGGGTGTTCCATCTGTTCAGGATCCTGGAGCTGTGGTCAGGTTAGACCACACTTACAGCTGCATCTCTGGCCCAGGTTTGAAGGACCATCACCTGAAGAACGCGGCTGTCCTTCCACCTCTCTGTCCAGCATCCCCAGAGTCTTCAGTGGACGTGAGACAGCAGGAGGAGCCGCTCTCCATTCACGGCTACAGTGTTCAGGCCTACCAGAACATCTACCGTTCTGTGGTTGAGCCCATGTTGAAGAGCCGTCCCTACAGCCTACAACTGGGCCTAGAGATCAAGCAGCGGCTGTGGGAGGCGCTCAGGTGTCCTGTAATGGAGGAGATGGAGCAGGCTGATGGGCGAATCCTCATCACGGAGAGCAGATGTGGATTCAGACCAAACAGCATCGCTCCTCGAATCCATGTGGACATCAGTGAAGAGCCACTGCCTCAGGAGCCCAGAAGAAAGAGGCCCAGACACTGAGTCTGCACAGTATCTCAAACCACACTGCAGGCCTGTGTATGTATATAGTGTACATAGTTGTAGAGCAAGTTTACAGTAAGTTTCCTTTTCATGTTTTGTTTCATCAATTGGTTGCTTTTATTGATTGTTGGTGTTGTTGACTTGTGGCTCTTGATTTGCTCGGTGGTCTTTCCTGCATTGCTGCGTGGTCTTCAGGACGTTTCAGGTGGTTTTCTGAGCGGTTGTTCTCGTGTTGCTGGTCGGTCGCTTGACTTTTCTGACAAATTCGATGCGTTTAGTTGATTTGTGGTCTCTGTTGGGTTAGAGTAGGTTAGGGTCCCTCACGTGGTTTGCAGCTTGACGTGCTGTGAGGGCTTGTGTGCATCCGTGATGCTGAGAGCTTCGCCACTGGTACTTCACAGATACCGGCAGGGTCACCCATAGTGGACTGGTCTCAGCTGAGATGCCCGACTAAGACAAACCAGCTGACTCTGGACAGCAAAAAATTTACCTGTTCTCCAGCAGAAGAGTAACATCAAAATCACCTGAAGATGTGGAAGTCACAGGTGGATTTGTGGAAACAACTATTCTAAATAAATAAATTGATAAACAAAATTAATAAATTCATTCATTAATAAAAAAAAGAGGCTGCATTTATTTTCTTTTTCTTCTATTATGCTGAATTTCATCATGTTAAATATATACACTTTTAAACTTTGTGTAATTCTTGTGGTTTAGACTATTATCAAATTAAAAAGTAAGAAATTATGATTGTATATAAGTATTACCACTAATCTGTTTTTCAACACAATTTACCACAAATTGCTCGATAAAAAATATAATAAAATTATAGTATAATGAACCATAATAACAATAATTATAATTAAAATTTAAAATACATACAATAAACAAATATTAAAATAATTTATTCAATATTTAGATTGAATATTATTTACAAATATGTAAACATACACAGTGTATATTGTGTATATATATATATATATATATATATATATATATATATATATATATATATATATATATATATATTTTAGGGCTTGCATAGACTAGTCGACTTGTCTGACGATCGACTACTTCAACCACTAGTTGACGCTCTCAGAAGCAATCGACTACTCGAGCGTGCATTTACCATAAATGGCATCAAAACGACAAACGTATCCAACAAACATCACGATCCAAGGTTAAAGCTTCCAACTACAACTGAGGATTAAATTCAAGATTATTTACATGGTCAACATTACCACCACAGGGAATCCTCTCGAATGGTAGTCACATGGTCTCCGCTACGTTAATTCCTCCGTGGCGGGCGCCACACCAAAAAAACATTACAGTATCCCATTCAAAACATTCAGTCGTGTTTTATAATAGCTGGTTATAATCGCACTAAAACGTATTAAAAGGTGAGTAAATTATAACAGCGCAAACTTTACTGTGTGTGCGTCATTTGTTTAACCCTCAAATGTTACGTGCTGACTGACTGACTGACTGACTGACAGGTGCTTGATGTGTGAGGCCAGCAAACACGACGTGGCTTTCAGTTAGATTAACAGTTTCCATAAGTGTACTTTATAGTATCTATTGCTCTGAATATTATGATTTTATCTTAATAATTTTGCACGCAAGCAAATAGTTTAAAAATAACGTCATAGGTGTCTGGTAGATCTGTATAAAAAAGCCTGCCGCCACAGCCGCAAAAAAATCCTAAAGGAAACATTGAGTAATGTAATGAACATCAGTTTCCTCTACTATCCAAGCTAGCGAAATGAATTTACACTGTATTTAAATGTTGATGGTCCAGGATCAACATTAGTGAGCTTACACTGTACATACATACATACAAACATATATATATATAAAAGCCTTGTCGGTTTCACGAGATGCGCGCACAGTCAACGGAGGTGTGCAATGTAGCGCCAGGCAAAAGTATAAATCCAGCTTTAGAAAAGACCCCAAGACCTGACTGAAACAAATGAGTCTGATAAGGAGATAAAATGTGCAGTTGGTAAGCCGAAAAGTAGACCTACACATAGGCCTAATATTATTAGTGTTGCTTTACCATATTTTTGACAATTAACAATAATAATAGACTACTCATATTAACCTATATTTTACTTCTACAGAATCATGAGAAAATCGTGATCTTGATTTTAAGCAAAAAAAAATTGTGATTCACATTTTAGCCAGAATCGTGCAGCCCCTAATATATAAGCTATCTATACACATACAAATAAAAAAACTTTTTTCTCTCTTAGTACCGTTTGCACACATCTGATGATAAACTTACATCTTTGGACACTCTGTAAGGGCTCTTCATCACATTTCATTCATTTGGGTTGTCTTGACAAGTCTGTCACTGCTACGGCTCAAAACAGAGAAGGAGCCCTCTCTGCATCACAGCAGTGCAGATAGAGATGATGACTGAGATGTGTCTGAATAGAACAAAACATATATAGAGAAATTAACCTTATCTGTAGTATATTTATACATATATCAAATATCATATCAACCATGACTGACTGACAGGTGCTTGATGTGTGAGGCCAGCAAACACGACGTGGCTTTCAGTTAGATTAACAGTTTCCATAAGTGTACTTTATAGTATCTATTGCTCTGAATATTATGATTTTATCTCAATAATTTTGCACGCAAGCAAATAGTTTAAAAATAACGTCATAGGTGTCTGGTAGATCTGTATAAAAAAGCCTGCTGCCACAGCCGGAAAAAATCCTAAAGGAAACACAGAGTAATGTAATGAACATCAGTTTCCTCTACTATCCAAGCTAGCGAAATGAATTTACACTGTATTCAAATATTGATGGTCCAGGATCAACATTACTGAATTTACACTGTATTTAAATAAAGTAATTTAAATATATAAGCTATCTATACACATACAAATAAAAATACTTTTTTCTCTCTCTCTTAGTACCGTTTGCACACATCTGATAATAAACTTACATCTTTGGACACTCTGTAAGGGCTCTTCATCACATTTCATTCATTTGGGTTGTCTTGACAAGTCTGTCACTGCTACGGCTCAAAACAGAGAAGGAGACCTCTCTGCATCACAGCAGTGCAGATAGAGATGATGACTGAGACGTGTCTGAATAGAACAAAACATATAAAGAGCAATTAACCTTATCTGTAGTATATTTATAGACATTTCAAATACCATATCAACCATCAGTAACAATTTATCCTAAATATTTTTAGATAATTATTGAACATTAATAATGACAAAAACATTTGTTATCATATTTGGATATCACATTCTACTACATACCATATTATATATATTGATAAATTGTAATCTCTTTTTTAATAAAGAACATTTCTCTCTCTAAGTGATGTTAAAAGCAACATGTTACATTTTTAAAGGACCAAATTATAAATACTCCACCTAGTACATGTTATTGGTTACTCAAACTGTTATATCAATTGTAAATCAGCAGCCTGTAATTTGATGCATTTCTCGCGATTTTCATATTGCACCTGAATTATCATTTTGCTGTCAACAGCATGTGGAAAGAGACAAAAAATGCAACATACAGTAAAGCTTTTATTAGATATCTAAATGATAAACATGTAGTTCAATATACAGAATACCTTTCAGATTGCTTATATTACAATTAAATCTGCTCTTCCAGAAAAAAAAGTACCTTCTGAAATGTTGTTGTCCATTTAAATGTTCTTTTACGGCTTGAAAGGCTTCTAGCTGTACATACTGCCTTTCACCATATGTCAACATGTGAAAATAAGGGGTAACATTACACCATTGTACCCCATTTGATTACATTAAATAACGGTGTCACTTTAAAAATGCACAAATCTATAATAAAAGCATTTGATTGATTTCCTAACTATTTATGCTCATTATGC